TCCCCACCACACCTCTGCCTCACCCCCTGGGCTCCTCCGCACTGTCTACGCCTTCAGAGGATGAGTATTTGTCCTTAGACCTGGAAGAGGTCAGGAAAAGCCGTGCCACAGAAGCCAGGCTCCGTCCTGTAACCCCCAGCCTCCACCCACAGCCCCTCCAAGCCATTGGACTGGGAAAGGTTGGCTTCCTGAGGACAAAAGCACCTGCCTGCCTCTAGGAGCCCAGGACGCATCCTTGGGTGGGAACCTGGGCGTGGGCGAGGTGAGGTCATATGAGGGTGGGGACGGACGACGCCGATGGTCACCCAGGCTGTGTGACTAGGGCTGAGTGGGAGAAGAGGAGGAGATTGGGGACAAGCGGAGGTGCCAGGCACTGGGCTTTGAACCACCAGTGTGAGGGGTGAGGACAGTGCAGAGATGGTGACCAGCCCAGGGTCACAACTGGGAAGCCGCACATAGGGACCCCGGCCTGGGCCTGGGTCAGGGCCTTCCCGGGGGTCCTGGAGGACCCTGAGGCAGATGGGTATGGCAGGGCCCCCGCACACGTCCCAGTCCTAGGATCCCTGTGACCAAGAGCCCACAGCCCTGCCCGAACCCCTGAAGGGCCATCAGAGTCAGCCCCAGGTCTCGATCTGCTTCTCCAGTCTGGTTCTCCCAGAGTGTCAGGAGGCCTCAGATCCACACTCCCTCAACTCAGAGAGCCGGGGCTGCTCAGACCTTGAGGTCCCCTGTCCACCCTCCTGGGTGCTCCCCTCTTCCACCCCGGCCTTCCCTGCAGTGAGGCACACTGGCTTGGGGAGCCAGGCTTCCTAGGCTCAAATCCTCTCTGTCGATCCCGGACAAGTGACTAACCCAGAGGCTTGGCTTGTTCATCTGTAAAGTGGGACTGCTATGTCCCTACCTCATAGCCAGTAGAGAAGATTGAGATCCTGCCTGTCAAGTGTCTGACACCTTGATGCTTAATTAAAAAGTACTTTTCTGAGTACTGAGGATTGAGCCCCGGGGCCTTTATGCTGAGCTACATCATCAGCCCTCCTCCCCTTATTTATTTATTTATTTATTTAGGTACTAGGGGTCAAACTCGGGACCCTGTGCTTGCGAGGCAGTGGCGGAACCACTAAGCTAAATCCCCGGCCCAATCAGCCCCTTTTTAAAAATTTTTATTTTGAGACAGGGTCTTGCTAAATTGTCCACAGTTGGAACTTGCAGCCTTCCTGCCTCAGCCTCCCAGAGTACTAGGATGACAGGCGTGCCTGGTGCCCTGCACTGTCCCTGGAGTCCTCTCTGACCCTGGGCCCTCCCATTTGTCATTCCCACATCCCTGAGGGAATCCTACTAGCCCAAGGGCGATCCCTAGGCAGTGGTCCCACAGTCACCGCGACTCCTCCCTCCTCCTTCCTCCAGCCCAAGACCTCCGTCTTCCCTGCACTCCTCCCTCTTACTGCCCAAACCCTCCCTGCCCACCCCTCTGCCCAGGGCCGTTGCTGACCCTGGGCCCTCCCATTTGTCATTCCCACATCCCTGAGGGAATCCTACTAGCCCAAGGGCGATCCCTAGGCAGTGGTCCCACAGTCACCGCGACTCCTCCCTCCTCCTTCCTCCAGCCCAAGACCTCCGTCTTCCCTGCACTCCTCCCTCTTACTGCCCAAACCCTCCCTGCCCACCCCTCTGCCCAGGGCCGTTGCTGGGGCAGCGCACTGCGCACTGAC